GGTGAATGAATGACTTATTCTTGTAAACAACACATAATGAAATGTCGGTGTATATGTGTATATATGCAATATATGTATATAGTATATTTATATTTTTGTATATATTAAAATATGTTTATATTTTAATTAAGGTATTAAATGCAAATTAGGCATTAATTTAATTTTATCATCTTAAAAGTCTTAAAAGTCTCATGTCTTCGTCAGATAAAGGTTGAGGGTTTTATTTGTTTCATTATTTTATTCCCCACTATATCGTCAACAAAACATTCGTGGCTGTGGGCACAGATGCTCTTTTAATTTTGCCGGTGCCTAATTGCATTTTAAATCAGCATTCATGCTTAATTTAGTAATTAATAGCTTTTTTATGGGTTGTTTTTGTTTTTTTATATGAAAATTACGGAGGTGGAAATTTAGCAGTTGCACATAAGAAAAGAGAGTCAATGACTTCAGAAAGGGACTTTTGCTGTGCGATGATTAACGCCGGCTGCCACCAAGGGTCCACGGCTACCGTTGTGATAATGAAACTGATTGGGACGACAGCCTACGTGGACCACGACGGGCCGACGATGCTCTGTCCAAGCTGCTGGTTAGGACTGTCCCTGCACGTCCAAATGTGTTTGCCTGTTAGGAGAGCAGCAGCAGCCCTCCTTCCCTCCTTCCCTCACCCCTTTCCTCGATCCATCATTAATGTAAGTGCATGCATGTGAATAAGTCATTAGTCCCTGCATAGATCCGACCCCAGGACGGGCTTCATGCCCACTTCATGGAGGAGAAAGTGTTGAGACAAAAGGGGAGCAGCAATCAATCAGAGCACAGGAGCGTGTGTTATGTGGAATGGGTTTTCCAATTAGTGGAGAAGCCCCTCCTCATATCCAGCCATTCAAACCAGTGGTTTTATCATGCCACAAAACATATGGCTGTTTTTATCAATATTCATGATGGGAATCCAGAACCAGTCCTTGGAGTGACCCGACTCCCAGTGGTCCAAATCCTTGGAAATGTTGATCTGTTTGGTCAGTGATTCTGCTTACACCGATGACATCACAGGACCGCTCGCTAATTAGGTTCAACAACATGTTTACAACATGATGTCAAGGAAGAGTCAGTGATGAAGTAACTGAAGGATGTAGAACGCAATTAATATGGCAACCATGGTCGGGTTAAACAGTTGACTGTTTTACCAACCAAGAGATTCATTCCTACTTTTTATATTATTTATATAGCTTATTTTATATTATTTGCAAAAAATATTATGACCGGTGCTTTCAAAAATTATTTAAAAAAAATATATAAAGAGCAAGATGATGTTTGATGTTGTAGTTTTTCCGTCACAGAAACAGTAACACAAAGGATGTCAATATGCAGATTCCTGCAGATGATTTGTTTTTTCAATGACATTATAATTATGTCTGATTCAAATACCAAATATTAATGCGTAACTTTTTTATACTCTGTACCACCTGAGAAAACACTGAGTCGCTCGCGTACCATTGGTGGTAGGCGTACCACAGTTTGAGAAGCACTGTGTTAGATTAGAGACTCAATGCAAACAAACCTACTTCTGCCACATTTCACTTTCTAACCCAAAGTGACTCCACACAGGAACCCAGTATCCATAAGAGTTATTTACGATCAAATCAGTCATTTCCTGTCAGTTCACATCATCAATATGTTGTGAGTCAGTAAAGGCTGAGCTCTGATGTTTTCAAAACTGCTCTAAATCCCTAAACTCCTCGGTTCAAATGCAGAAATCCGTTTGCTGTGCTGTGTAAGTGGGGAGCATTTTTCCATCTCACACATCAGTTGAAATTGTAAATGTTTAATAGCAGCTGTGTTTTATTGGTCTCTTTCTGCCTGGATGCAAATGAATGGAAGAAAAACCAGTGTGTTTTTAGTGTTGCTGTAACCGAGGCCAAGTCAGGCTGGAAGAGGAACGGCCTCACTTTAGGCTGCACACATGTGAGAGTGATGGTAATGGAATTGGAGACACACACACACACACACACACACACCGAAATGACTTTTGACTGTTTCCTCTATGACAAGCCATTTCAAAACTGCTCTCTCACTTCCGAGATAACACATGGCGTGTTTGCTCAGTGAAGGTTCACCAACGATATGTGGAGAATTTTTTTCACCTGTCATCCGCTCCGACATCCGCTCCACACAGCACGAAACAACCAAACACCGCCGCAGCCGCAAAATGTTCTTTAATTTATAAGCCGGTCAGAAAGGCCAACGCATTTTCATTCTGTCAGAAAAAGGAATCGGAGCTCTGTTATTGCAATTTATAGGTCACTGCTTGTTGTGTTTCCAACGCATGACTATAAAGGCCTCTTAAAGGGAAGCAGTGGCATTAAAGACTGCATTAGCAGCACAACTGTAAATGCATGTTGACATTTACACTTTTTCATTGAAACGCCGCTGCCTGTAGTTAAACCGGGCGAGTTTGTAATTTTAATAGTTTTGTAATTCACACACATGGAAAATGCTAACAGCTAGAAACGCTCAAACGCACCTGTAGTTTTATGGTGGTTGTTATCACGTTTCTGACAATGTTTTAAAGTCGCGTAACACAGTATATAAGAAGAATTTAAACCTCATCCCCAGAATTATGATTAATCTCCTATAAATAGTTAAGACAAATAAAAACTTTCTTTCTTTATTTATTTGTCTTTTTCTTTGTTCAATGTTTTATTTTAAAAACTGTTTTTTCTTCAAAACCCGATAATAAACTGGAAATAACTTACAAATCGATCTCAGTGGTTCTTCCAGCCACACCTCTACGCTCCTCCTGTCTCCTGCCATCCCCTGCAGTAGCTTTCTGCCCCCCAATGGGGTCCGCCCCCTATTTTGGGAACCACTAGGTTCGACTGTTTAGGTCAGTTAGTTCGATAAATGCTAAGTCATAGTTTCCACCTGGAGACATTTAAGGTTTTTAATGGCAGACTTCATTCTGTTTCTGGTTGACCGTCCTGCCTGCGGTCCAGGAATGTCTGATAGTTCAAAAAAAAAGAAACAGTGACACAGAATGTTAAGTGGCAAATATAGGAAAATTATTGAGAATTTTGTCAATATTAATCATTTAGTATGTAAATATGATAATTGTATTATTTAAATAATAGGTTTAAAGGCGAGGGTGTTTGTGTTTGTACCGTGTATATTTGTACCACTGAGTTTGGTGATTCAGTACGGCGTGTTGCAGCCCATACTGAGTATTCTTAGACAGGTTTTGGCCTTGGTGATATGTACTGTGTACTCTGAACGTTCCACTCTGGCGATGAAATCAGTCGGTTTTTGCAAATAAAAATATTATGAATATAAGGTGCAGGGAGATCCATATAGTTATTCAAACAGTTCCTTTGTGTGTACTCTGGGAACCGAGTCACTTTGGTAAAGGTTCAATAATGTAACTGTTCTACAGATATCACCTCCTTTATTTGGTCTAATAATCAGCTCTGAGTATTGCCTCTCAGGCTGGCTCATGGACAGAATATTGACTTTACACATAACACGATTGGTTTGTGCACAGAATATATGTCCCTCACAAAAAATGTTATATATATATTTAATCACAAACAGTCATATATAGGCCTTACTTTAATGCAGAGGATACAAATAAGATTTGCAAAAATAAAGAAAATTAAAAACTAAAATAAAGTTGTTTTCCTGTATATATATATATATATATATGTATGTATATATATATACATACATATATATATATATATATACATACATATATATATATATATATATATGTATGTATATATATATACATAAATATATATATAATGTGAATACTATGTCTTTTAATGTAAATTGAAAAGTGATTGTGTAATTTCACCTTTTTTTTTGAGAAACGAGAGCGAGAGAGAGAGATTATATGGGTTGTAGGAGATTGGGATGGACAGCAGGAGAAATTACTTTTCATATAACATTTGGCCAATTCACTCAAGGATGTAATTACATTATGAGACAGTGTGTAAAAAAAAAAAAAGACACTGACTAATATTCCACAGCATCTTCAATTATAAGGAGCAGATCCACATTTTTTGCGACACCTACTGCCGTCATGTCATGTCTCTACGAGGACACAGACAGAGACGGCTCCTTGTTTGTGTTCGTGTTCAGTGTATTGCTAAAATCGTTAGCATCTTTGTGTTATTTCACTAACCTTTAACATATTCCCACCATCACCATCAAATGTATGTTTTTGACTCAGTCGGGCATTAACATATTCCCACATCACCAAATGTATGTTTTTGACTCAGTCGGGCTCTTGGCTGTATCTGCGACTGACTTGAGCATTACCTGAAGAGCGGAGTGTGTCGTTTTTTACCCCTCCCACCCCAAACCCCGTCTTTGACAGATGCCTTGGCTCTAAAAGCCTCTGTCCATGCTGCTGAAGGCTGGCCTGATGCATGAGCGTTCGACTCGGCTTGATAAATCCGCCGTGTCATTCTGCCTCTGACAGCCATTCATCATGACCAGCTTTCTCATTTCAAATGTTCCGTGTGCCGGATAATTCACTAAGACAAATAAAATGTGAGTCCCAAACCTTGGAGTCAGCTCTATCTCACCCTGCGTTGACTTTTCACTACTGTACTTTATCTCTCTGTCGTAGGGACACTGTGTCCCTGTCTGCGGGGCCACGGCAGCAGCAGCAGCAGCTGTAGGTGTTGAACAGTGTCTATATTCAGACCAGCTGAAGGACGAACGTGTTCTTAATGAGGCGGCTAATGAGTTCTGGTCTTTTGTTGCGTTATTTCTGGGTTAGGACAACCATTCAGCCATTCCAATCACGTCTCCTGACGTTTCCTCTTTGCTCTGACTCTAAACACTTTTTTTTCCCGTTTCTCCAGACCTCCATTGTTTTTGTTTCATATCCTTGGAACTAAAATGAGATTTCAGATTCAGCCCTGGTTGGATATTCAAAGATGACGAATGTAATTTTTTTATATAAATATTTGAAAAGGCAGGAAAAGGGAGCAAAAAAAAACAAGCGTTTGTAAAAGAAACAATGACATTTATTTTTTTTTCTTAGCACTTTTCTTAATTAGTCTGTTGTGCCCATTGATCACGTATAATACAGTAAATATAAAAATGGCTTTTTGACTTTACATCCAAAGCAACAAGGAAATGTTTTTTTTTTCTTAAAATATGTATGCTAAAAATACTGAGAAAGTATTTGCACTAAAAGTACCGGAGAATAACTTGTGGTTCTGCAGTGATGACATGGCCATGTTCGCTGTGGTTGAAGGGTTCCCTCGGTGTTGCTTCCTCTTCTTCTCTTTTTTTTCTGATTTGTTTTTTAACCACATGTACTTTTTGTTGTAGGCACTTACCAGGGCAGAGCAGACCGCTTCTTCAGATAATTAATCGTTTGGCCTTTATCACAGCGGACATTTTGACATGTCTCAGTACAAAACAGCACAGAGGTAAAAAAAAAAAAACAAAACCAAAATGACTGATGGCTGGATTCCATTTATCTGCTCTGCTTTTCCGGAGCTAAGCTTTTGTGCAGGCTGGCTCCGTGCACTGTGGTCCTGTCAGGTGCAGTGACACTTAAATTGAACACAGCCATTTTTCATGTTATCAGTACCATATGTACTGTTACTACTTTGACATGTCAGTTTGTCTTCTGTGTGAAAGTGCTGTCACTTCCAGTCTCTTACCCACCTGCGATGTCCAACATGGCCACATGTCTCCCGCTCAGTCCCAGTCAAATATAACGATAAGCAATAAGAGCGTTTTTTTAAAAAAACGCCCGTTCCAGTTGACGTCCAAGCTGTTCAAGGTACAGAGAAATTGTCATTACATCAACATAATACAATATCTAACAGTATTTTCATGAAAAAAAAAATCAGGAATCCATTTTAAATAGAAAAAGTGAGGGGCGGGGGCTATACTGTTTCAGCAAAAGGCTTACACCATAGTCACTGGTATTTTTGTCTACTCTACGAAATCTCCCTCCTCATAATAGACGGGTGTTATAACTGTAACTCTCTAACTCGTCTATGGATGTTCGACAAAGCACAGACGGTATTGCTTGGGACCACACAGACAGTTCCACAACTCTGAACACATTTAACAGTCAAAAACAAGAGAGTTGACCATTACCGTCGTCACCACTACACCGTCAACCTTCGCCGCCTTTTTCCTGCATTTTTGCATGAATGTACCAAAATATATATATATACTTTTGAGTAAATGCCCCTTCCTGTTTGATGTGAGCGTAGATTAATGCATCAGATACAAAGCCAACACTTCAGTTAAGGTCAGAACTGGAGCAGCGTGTAGTCTATTTTAAACAGTCCCATTCCCGCCTATAAATAGTTTCCGTCAAAGTCTAAGGCCGGGGGACCATTAGTGGGTTTGTCTCTCAAACGGTACGACACAATAGTTCGCTCCTGCCCGTGGCTTTGTCCGTTCAGTGTAGTTGGTGTAGTGCTCAACAAAGCTGCACGTCTTAAAAGGCATTGTCAGATACATTTATGACCGTGGCTTTCACTTCCACTCCACTTGGCAGTCTCTTACCCGAAACCCACAGCCTGGCAAAGAATGGAGAGCGAACACGGGCGGCTTCCACTGGCTTCAGCAAAGCTTGGGAGTCGCATTTTCTTACATCCCCATAAAGGTGGTGGTTCCTCAGAGACACATAAACAAGCAGGCTGCCTACTGAAATCACAGCCAAGAGCACACCAAAGACAGTAATTACTGCTGCATCCCATCTTTCTGTATCCTTGGCTGCCAGCCTTAATCCCTTCGTGGTGACACTGACACATTTGGTGTCTTGGGTGTAGCGGACGCTGCGTACTTCCACACATACCTTGTAGCGAGTGGCATGGCTGAGGTGGGTGAGGTTGTAGCTTTGGACGTCAGAAGGAACTCTGGTGGTGAACGCTATAGTGGGGTGGTTGGCATCCGACAGAGTGTACCACTTGATGGTGGGGGCAAGTGTGCCAGAAACACCTTTCCAAGAAACCAGGACCGAATTGGTCTCCACGGATTTCACCGTGACGTTAAGAGAACCATTCACAAGTTGGGGGAAATATCCATTCACCTCCACGGAAACAGATTTAAGATCAGCTCCGACCAGATTATGGGCAACACACGTGTAAAGACCTGCCTCGTTTTCTGTGACGTCATAGATGTCAAAGGTTCCCTCTGGGTGCATGTAGAACTTCTCAGAGACGGTATTAGGCAGAACCCTTGCCCCAGATGGGGTGATCCAGTAGATATCCGGCTCTGGCTCGGCAAACGCACGACAATGCAGTGATACTGAACTTCCGTTCTTTGCTATGATGTGTTTAGGCATGCTTTCGGGGGAGATAAGAGGAAGACAAATCTCCATCATCTCCCTGAAGTGCACCTGTCGGACATGCTGCCCTTCATACTCCGGAGGCTCCACGCAGTAGAGGGAATCGGGCTCCATGAAGCGAAGGTTAGTCTTGTTCATGTTCATCCAGCGCACCACACAGTCACAGCGAATGGGGTTGCTGTGCATGCTAACCTCTCTGAGATTCGGGAGAGACTCAACGGTAATCCTGTGGAGGGCACTTAGCGCGTTGCCGTTTAGCATGAGAGTTTCCAGCCTTGGTAGTTTGTAGAAAGCGTTAGGATGAATGTAGGAGAGTTTGGGATTGTTGGTAGCTTCAATCTTGGTCAGCTCAGGGAGGTTATTGAGGGCAAAACTGTCGATGGAAACCAGTTCTGGCATGCTGTTAATGCCCAGCTCTTTGAGATGAAGCATATCCACAAAGTCCCCTCTTTGTATTCTCACAATGGGATTTTTATTCAGATCCAGGAATTTGAGGTTTTTCGCCTTTCGCAGGGCTGAATGCGGCACCTTGGGGAAAATGTTATCATAGAAGGAAATGCTCTCTAGGTTATCAAGCCCAATCAGCGCGTCGTCCGGCAGCTGCGACAAATTCATTCTGGTGAGAACCAGGCTGCGTAGGTTGCCCAGGGGTTTGAAATTCATGTCGTCGAGTGAAAGAACTGGATTCTCACCAATCATAAGGATTTCCAGATTTGGCATTGGTGCAAACCATTCTCTTTGAATGACTTTCAGTTTGTTGGAATTGAGATGGAGACGGACGAGGTTGCTGAGGCCCTGGAAAGCCATGGGAGCGATGTGGGATATTAGGTTGTGATTTATGTAGAGCTCTTGAAGGTTAGCCACCTCCGCTAGACAATTGTCAGGCAACTCTTGTATCCAGTTCTCCTCCATGTGGAGGGAGAGCAGCTGAGGGAGGGTCCCCAGAATGGCGTCACTGATCGATGACAAGTTGTTTTGCGATAAATCAATCTCTGTGATGTTTTTTAGGTAGTCCAGGGGTTTGTCAATCTTTGCCACATTGTTGGTTTGCAGTAATAGTACTTGTGTGCCTATGGGTAAATTGTCCGGGAGGCTAAAGAGTCCCACGTCATTACAGTCAACCGTCTGTGCCTCCATGTACACAGAACTGGGGGAAAACCAGGGCCTCACCTCACACACACAGAGCCTGGGGCAGTCCGGCTCGGTGGCCCCAACAAGACAGGCCATGACCAAACCAACAAAGAGATGATCCACGAATGAGACGTCCTTCATATTGGGAGAGATTCTTTTCGGAATAAAAACCGGTCCTTGTGTGTCGAGTGATCCAAGTTGTTTACTTTACAAACAGTCAATCATCTGATGCAGCTGCTGAGGCGACTGACTCACCACCACCATCAGCAGCTGCACTCGGGCTCCCAAGGGTTTTTTTTTTTTTTTTTTTTTTTTTTCCTTCGCTCTCTTGCTGTGCTCTCTTGCTGTGTCGATGTCCTTGAATGTAATGAACAATCACTCAGTTTTGTCAACCGGTGTCAGGGTTCGGAGCAGACACTGCAGCCTAGCAGACCCGAAACAGACAGGCGAGGGAGGAAAGAAAAAGAACCCACTGATGACGTGCCTCAGAGTACTTATGTTGAGCCACACAGGTGTCCATAAGTGTTTCCCGCTCCTTTAAAGACAGAGTTCCATGCAGACAGCCTTTACTAGCTTCCAGAATCCACAGCCCAGTCCATTCCTACCTGTGGAGGACAAAAAACAGACAGAGAGAAATGATGTGAGGATTACATGATAATAGATTGGCCAAGGCAATATAGTAAGACAGGGATTTAGGTATTGACATTTGTTATAGGCACAGTGATGCATGCTGACATTTATACACGCTTCCTCCAAGACACTGAACCGTGGATTTATATCTGCTTGACCTTCTACACTCCATTCCGGAAAGGTACTGCGTCGGCCGCTTACAATGTGGGTTTAACTCCCCATATGTTAGCGGCAAAATCCATAATGGGCGAAATAAAAGGCTTTATTAGTGTTCTTAAATGGCAGACATCCTTATTGTCCGGGGTCAGAGCTCGGAGCGTGACAGTCAAAGACGACAGAATACCACGCGTCACCGCTAAATACAGGTCAGTGCAGTACAACACCGGGTTCCGTGCACTGACATTGAATAATGTATTTTTTTAAGCCATATGGTTTCTAACTAGCCACTTCTATAATTCAGATACGCACTTCCTGGGATTAGGTCAGATCTAGTTTTCTGGGCAGATATTTTAAGTTTCTATGTTTAGGGAACAGATGGTACGTGTTTGTATTTGGTTTTTTTGCAGAACCCTAACTTGCATAATTTCCTTGCTGATGAATTATGAGCCAGAATGCTAATGTTAAGCAAATTTTATAGCTCAGTTATTAGAGGCAAATCCTAAGGATAAAAAAATAAAAAAATAAACACAAGTGACCAGATTTGGCCTCGTACTGTGATCTCCTTTGTTTACGCGGTGATAAGTGGAATTAAATCCTCTTTTAATGCATTGTCGTTTTTAGCAGCAGGGTGTTAGTATTAATGACATCCTTCACATCTGAAGTGTCCGTGTAATTTATGTTTAACTGCCTTTTGCTGAGCAGAGAGGGTTCAGATGTTTTCATGGTGCCTGTGATATTCTGGACTTATACATTGCATCATGGGAAAAGGAGAGAGAGAGAGAGAGAGAGAGAGAGAGAGACAGGGTATGAAATGGACAAAATCGAAGAGAAGTGAGACTGTGCCAGGAAAAAAAAAGAAGAAATTTAATTTCATCGCCCTCTCCCCTGTTCCACCTCAGTGGCCACGGGGGAGATGCAAGGGGAGAAAGCATAAAGAAAAAAAAAATATATATATATATATAAATAAGAGAAAGGATCTGAAGGCAGCAGAATTGCTGCAGTTTGCCTCAGTGGCAGAACTGGGCCAAAAGTTCACTCCTCAACCTCTGCTCCGACACTGGAGTCTGGTCTGTGGGGGCACCGGGGAGTCAGGCATGGAGCCAGTGTTGAGGGGGGGAGGAGAGAGGAAGGGTAATATTTTTTTCAAAAGCACCTGGCACTGTAATAAGCAGCGTCACCCGGAGCATTCTGATAAACCCAGCTCAGCTTTTCTTTTAGTGAAGTCTTGACTCTGGGCTCCCTGGTTGATCTATGTCCTGGAAACGAACAACAAAAAAATAAAACCTTTAGCTTAGCCTCTGGCGTTTGAGCTTCCAGGCGGACCATCCAGGTCCTTCTCAGCTTCGGTGAATGGAGCAGTTTAAAGTCCAGTGAAGTAAATCGCCGGTACTCTGACCTACTGAATGTGTGTAAGACTACGTTCACACTGCAGGCAGCTGTGGCCGAAAACCAAACTTTTTTTTGTTTATGTGACATTTCGCACATCTTCATTTCCTCTTCTCTGTGTTCTTTTGGTTGGTCTTATAGTAGGGGGACGTGTGTAGCTCATTTTATTTGAGATTGAGCCGCTCATCTCGTCGCCGTACTCCGGTGGATACTCAGTTGACAATGGCAGTAAATGTCGGGGGTTAGAAGCTGAATTTGCCCCTGCGTGTTTGTTTCTGTCGTCCAGACATTACCGCTGCAAACATCTCTGCTTCCTGATTTGTCAAAGGACGAATTGGAGCATCAAGTCATTTTTGTTTGCTCGTTATCACCTTAACATTGTGCTAAATATTAATTCACGCACATAAATCAAAGTATTTACGCTTCCATTAAATCCTTGTGTGAGTGCATGAACCTGAAGTAGATACAACCACCTGCTAAGATTAAAATGATCATTTCTCTCCCGCTCCATTGTGAGTTTGCACAAAGACCAATAAATGTGATTTTTTTTTTCTTCTTCTACTCCTGCAGAAACGTTTTTCTATTTGAGGACATTTTTATCCATTGTAAAATCTGTCAGTGTTTTTTTTTATAATACTTTTTAATATCTTGTGAAATATTTAAGTGAACAATCTTTGGGCCTTAAACTCTCGTCAGTTTGGAGGATTTTTCTGACCTTGTCGATCTGCGACACAGTCAGACTCATCAGGTTAATCACAGAACGTGTTCTGAGGTGGAAGATAAAGGTTAGACTGTAGTAGACAGATATGTAAATCAGACTTAATTTCCCACCCCCCAACCACCCATGTTAGCTCAGTTCCCAGTGAAGGAAAACATTAGGAGTCGTTTGTAAAAAGAAGCTGACTGAATGGAAGGTGACGTCTTGTGGAAGTGTGCCTCGTGTGGCTGATGTACCAAGTGTCCCCGGTGAGCTGGCAGCCTGACTGGAATATTGAGTCAATGACTTAGTTATGTATTAAAAATGTTTCAGGAGACGATAATGGTCGAGTTGTTGTCGTACTTTCAATGACAAACATCCTAAAGTGTCTCAACCTGTAGTGAGGTAGACATGATAAGTGAACAACATCTGAGAATGTTATAGTCTTTAAATTTTAACAACTCATTTGGTGTCCCCTACTGAAGTCGGCTTCTTTTTTATGAACCGTGCCGTTGCCTAGGACTTTCCTCGTCCAGGAAAAGTCTTCAACAAACGATGTGAATACGACAGGATCACGTTTTTCAAAGTGTTTGCGAACAGTCGTGATGTCATGCGAGGTCACGTTCATGCCATGAGCAGTCAAGCTAATTCCAAAACAAAACTGACTTCCACTGAGAAATGGGTTCAGGTTTTGAGGTTCAAAGACCATATTTGGCTTCATTATTTGCATTCCTCCTCCCATAAAGAATTAGAAACCCATTTTTAAAGCAGCTCCAAATCTTAGCCGTTATTGTACACAGCTGGAGGAAGATTAATAGTCTGTCTCACTCTCTCTCACTCCCTCTCTTCCTCTCTTTCTCAGAGCATGTGTTTCCTGTTAAGCATACAGTAAATATCTCTTATTAAGTCATCCGACAATACCAGGAAGCTAAATTTAGCTTCATAGGATGTTATACTTTACTTATGCATATTTCTCCATAATATCAATCACCATCATTTGGATTAGTCACAAAAAAACACCTGCTGTTAGATCTAGAAATGTTGACCCATAACGATTAATCGCGATTAATCATACTGAATTATGACCAGAGTTCACAGGCTAGCTGATAAACCATGACTTATCACATCGACCAAAGTTCACTCTAGCTGATAAACCATGACTTATCACATTAAAATGTAGGTGTTTAGCAGCTCGTAATATTATGTAATACATATATTTGATACATATTAGAACCAATATATATGACCTTCCTGAAAATGTTTCATTGAAGTCCATTGAGAACATCTTGTTGGGCTAGGTGAATTAAAGCTCGTTAAGGACCCAGCCACTGGCTTTCATTGTACTTGAGGCTGAAATACTGTGGTATAGTTTCCCAACCTCGCTGCATTATTTGGAGTGAACTCTCCTCATCATCTACAGGCAGTTGAACAGGTAAATTGCACCGTGTGAGGCTCCGGCTCGAGGCAGCCTATATACTCTGGGCCTAACTGTGACAGCTGCGACTGTGGAGTTCTCTCACTGCGTGTACTAACCTATTAGACGCAGGTCCAGTGAAGCTACCCAGGCTCAGCCCCCACCCACCCTCCACCCCCCTGCTTCTATGTAGGGCTAATTTCCTACAATCCGTTGCCCCGTTGTCAGTAATTGAGGCAGAGCGAGGAGGGGTGGTAATAGGCAGAGAGGAGAGAGGACCAAATGAGTTGCCAGAGGAAGAACTTTAACCTGTCATAGTATCTGTTATATATTAGTGTATTAACCTTTGCCGACCCTGAAATCTCTCCCATAGCAGAAAATAGTCACCGTAAAAAGGGACGGTTGCGTTGAAGAATTAGCCGAGGTCCCCCTTAGAAAAGCTTTGAGAGAGAACAAAGATTTGAGCAGGGTGGCAGTGGCCTGACGGTGAGGCAGAGAGAAATGTGCTTAATATAACGGAGGCAAATAGCGTTCAGAGATGGATGTTTGTAATCTTTGGCTCGTAGAAACCTTTAGAAATCTTCACCAGACAGATACATAATCAACGGCTGATAATTTAGCCCAGAGGGCTAGAAATGGCTCCAACTCTGAACCTAACGTCTACCTGCACTGACGCGTTAAGTCGGAGCGCCGACGTTTTGCCCGAGGAGCCGACGGAGGGCGTTTTATAGGTCAGGCCGAGGTGTTCACTCACCGAGCCGACACAAGTTCCCAGGTGTCAGAGGAAATGGGTGCAGGGATGGTGTAATCGTTCAATCTCCAAAGCAGCACCATTTTAGTGGCAGAGTGACAGTCTAAGCCATGGGCTCTTTCACTTTCACCCGGCTCTAAACACACCGACAAACAAGCCTCTGGTATCTGGCTTGTATCAGTGCTGATTTAACAGTGTAAAAAATGGCCAGGATTGTTCCCCTCCATTAGTAAGTCCTGCAGGAGGCTGGTTTTTTTTAAGGGCACCAGGGCATTGGAGTTGTTCTGTGGAGAACATTCATTTGTCCACTCCAACATTCACCACGTATGATGAAACCCTGCATCACCTCAGGAATGTAGTTCTTTTTTTCACCACTTAGAGTCTTGCTTGGCTGTAGTTGATATTTTATAAAAGCCTTAAGTGTGTTTGGGTTTTTCATTAGAGATGTAAAAAGTGACAGATAAATCTAGCTATACCACTCGAATTCTAAAAATGTAATATTTTAATGTGTAATGAACAAAGACATTTAAATTAAAAAAATCTGAAGGTGGCTGTGGATTGTTCATGA